TCAGCGTGACAGTCGTCGTGTCTCTGGGGTCATGATCTCGTGTTGTTACAGATCTGGGCCGCAGGTCAGTGTGACAGTCGCCTTGTCTCTGGGGTCACGATCTCGTGTTGTTACAGAACTGGGCCGCGGGTCAGTGTGACAGTCGCTGTGTCTCTGGGGTCACGATCTCGTGTGACAGATCTGGGCCGCGGGTCAGTGTGACAGTCATCGTGTCTCTGGGGTCACGATCTCGTGTTGTTACAGATCTGGGCCGCAGGTCAGTGTGACAGTCGCCTTGTCTCTGGGGTCATGATCTCGTGTGACAGATCTGGGCCGCAGGTCAGTGTGACAGTCACCGTGTCTCTGGGGTCACGATCTCGTGTGACAGAACTAGGCTGCGGGTCAGCGTGACAGTCAGTTCTTCTCTGGGGTCAGAAGAACGAGCCACACTTATTAACTACAGAATCGCAATCGTTCATGTGTTTCATGTGTTTCACTGCCTCTTGACCCCAACCTGAGGGCTGGGATCTCACTCGGAGCAGAGAACAGACCTCAGATTAGCCAGCCCACAGACCCCCTCCTCCGCCACTGACCTTGCTGTCGAAGAGTCCGAGGGGCCGCGCGGACCGGAGGTTGAAGGTCATGGCGGCGTGCAGCAGGGTAGCCAGCAGCACGTGATGCTGGACCAGAGGGTAGTGTACTGGTCGCTGCTCTAGGGCCAGCTCCGCCAGCGAGCTGCGGCCCTCTGCACCCCCCCACACCTCCTCCACTGCCAGCGCCGGGGGAGGCACCTCGTCACGCCCCACGTCCGCCTGCAGGGAGACAGAGGCCAGAGGTCAGGAGCCTGGACACTGCACTGGGCAGGAGGAGAGGGCAGAGTGACCGGTCCAGTATACAGAGGGGTCAGAGGTCAGGAGCCTGGACACTGCACTGGGCAGGAGGAGAGGGGAGGGTGACCGGTCCAGTATACAGAGGGGTCAGAGGTCAGGAGCCTGGACACTGGACTGGGCAGGAGGAGAGGGGAGAGTGGAGAGATGGAAGGGTGGAGAGAGGGCAGAGTGATTGGTCCAGTATACAGTCTTTCCCAGGGGTGTATGACAGGAGAACAATCTGCAGCAGTGATAGAAACAGTATTAGCAGAGTTACCTCCATCAGGATCTGCAGCAGCTGAGTGCACGACCCCAGGAATGATGTCATGGCAGTGTCACCCATCCCCACATCCTGCAGACAGATATAGACCCAGTATTAGTCCAGCACAGCACTACCATTACTATGACAGCCACACCCACACTGCACGGCACCTCCTCTACTGGCCACACCCACACAGGAGGGCACTCCCCTTCTACTGGCCACACCCACACCACAGGGCACTCCCCTTCTACTGGCCACACCCACACAGGAGGGCACCCCTCTTCTACTGGCCACACCCACACAGGAGGGCACCCCTCTTCTACTGGCCACACCCACATCACAGTGCACATCCCTTATACTGGCCACACCCACACCACAGGGCACTCCTCTTCTACTGGCCACACCCACACAGTAGGGCACTCCTCTTCTACTGGCCACACCCACACAGTAGGGCACTCACATTATATTGGCCACACCCACATCACAGGACACACCCCTTATACTGGCCACACCCACACCACAGGGCACTCCTCTTCTACTGGCCACACCCACACCACAGGGCACTCCTCTTCTACTGGCCACACCCACACCACAGGGCACTCCTCTTCTACTAGCCATGCCCAAGACAGAAGGAGGACAAGCTGAGAGGCGACATGGTGTGTTGGGAACTGAAACTCACCCGCCGACACAGTCGATCCTTCGGAGCCTTGCCCACCTATAAAAGACACAAAATGTGAGGGCAAACACACACAGAGGTCAGAGGTCACAGCAGAAGCTGAGAGGGTAAGAGTCACAAGAGAGCTGAGGGCAAACACACTGTCTCTCTCTGCTGACCTTTTCCATGAGGAAGGCTGCAGCAGAGAAGCGCTTCACGATGAATGTGCTCCACATCATCACCCCGATCCCTGAGAAGGAGGAGAATGAATACACGAGTCATCTCCGAGACTGTGTGTAGTTACAGTTGGTGCTGAGGCACTGGGTGAGCCTGTGACTGCTCATCCCAGTCGTCTGGCTCACCGTGCTGGATGTGGGGGTTGCTGATCTGTCTCAGGTGCTCCACTGCCCAGGACAGGTATTGCCCCACCTGGCGAGAGAGAGAGGGGTGAGAGAGAGGAAAACCCCTCACCAACATCAGGAGGAGGACGTTTCCCATTTGCTAGAGTGCTTGAAGAAAACCTGCACTACTTGAATATCTGCTTTTCCAAACCTCCAGATCCAGCAGAGGCAGAGCTGAGACAGCACGCCTGCCAGGAGAGAGAGGGGCGTGACTCGTTCACCTGGCTCACCTCAGGATCCTTGTTCCACTGCACCACGTACTCCCAGCAGCAGTGAGCCGACAGCAGGTCTGGGGACATAGAGCATGGGAACCGCTGGAACACAGCAAATAGCAGCTCTGGAACAGAGAGAGACACCCCCCCAGTTAACACAGCTCTGAAACACAGAGAGAGACACTCCCCCAGTTAACACAGCTCTGAAACACAGAGAGAGACACTCCCCCAGTTAACACAGCTCTGAAACACAGAGAGACACTCCCCCAGTTAACACAGCTCTGAAACACAGAGAGACACTCCCCCAGTTAACACAGCTCTGGAACAGAGAGAGACACCCCCCCAGTTAACACAGCTCTGAAACACAGAGAGAGACAC